CAATGGAGGAAAAAATAATTAATAAAATCTGACATGGTCTCTTCCTCCATAACCTCAATCTGCCAAAAAAACAAAGGGTACAGGACATTCCCTAGAAGCGCTGGCAGATTTCCAGGCTTCATCGGTTGTAAAGCTTCTTGCATTTGCCTGTCCAGCAGCTGTCCTCCATGGCAGCAGGAAGTGGTGGTTGCTGCAGAACACTCCTTTTGCACATCTTGTTTCTCCCAATCACTTCCCAATCTCCTCCTAGCAAAGAGAAAGGGTAGAAAGGCTTTGTCCTTGTAAAGGTTAAGGAAAGATGGGAAATCTCGCCTATCTAAAGAGATTCTAACATTGCTGATAATTTTGCAGTTTGATCTACAGTCTTCATGAGATTAGGAACACCTTTTCACACCAAAACCTGTTGTAGCCAGCCAGCCTTCCCTGCCTATTTCTTTCCTCACTAAAGCACATCAAACATATAATTGTGTCTCAGGGGTGAGTAAAGATTCAAATGCTGGATGTCTTAAGGAGTATGTAAAAGTATTATCTAGCTTTCACAAAGTGCTTGACTGGAGCAGATAGCCCAGGAGGCTTTTGAAAGAGGTTGGAGCTTGCACAGTTGAAAAGAGAAGAGAAGAGAAGAGAAGAGAAGAGAAGAGAAGAGAAGAGAAGAGAAGAGAATCTTTTCAGTTGGAAGGGACATACAATGATAATCTAGTCCAACTGCCTGACCATTTCAGGGCTGACCAAAAGTTAAAGCATGTTATTAAGGGCATTGGTGCTAGAAATTTTATTGCATATCCTTGCCTCTCAGCTTACTGTACAACAGCCCACTGCCTGGAGCACAAGGGTAAAGTTGTACTTTTCAGAAGCTGGATCTGGTTTCAGTTTGTTTGTGGTATGTATGTAATTGTGTGAGGGCTACTCTACATAAAGCTGTTCTTACAAACTTCAATACCGATCACACTCCCCAGTGCATCATTAGCCAGAAGGTATATATTCTGATGTGTAAATGTGTATCATCAAATAGCTTCCTTTGCTGGGCAATACTTCTGAACATTGATCCTGAATATTAAAAGGAACAAATATTGAAAATTATTACTTTGATTTGTATCTGGAAGCTAGGGAATAGACACTGGTTAATAGCCTGCAGCCAGCTTTCTACTGTGGAAACTCTGGATCCCTCTCCAGCAGCATGAGGGAGATACTTGGAAGAGCAAAAGTGAGGAAAAACTCCTGGATCAAGATAAAGACAGTTAAGGAAAGAGAAGGGAGGGGGAAAGTGATGCAAGACTCACCACCTCCCACCAGAAGACAGATGACCAGACAGTCTCTGAGCAATGGCTACATTGGAAAGACAACTCCCCAGTTTTTATTGCTGAGCATGATGTTAGAGGACATGGATTATCTCTTTGTTCAGTTTGGGTCAGTTGTCCCAGCTGTGTCCCCTCCCAGCCTATTGCCCACCCCCAGCCTGCTACATGGGTTTGGGGACTGAGTGAGCAACCAAAGAGGCCTCAACACTGTGCAAGCACTCTTCAGCAATAGCTACAACACCAGTGTGTTATCAACACTGGTTTAGTCATAAATCTAAAACACAGCACCATACAGGCTGCTGTGAGGAAACCAGACCCAGTGCACCCTTGCAGGCTGTGAATACACTTGGAGGGGCTGGTTTGGGGATAAGAAGGTATTTTTCTTACAGAGCCAATCTGGACGAGAACAGACGCAAGTGAATTAAACAGTAAGTGCAGGTCCCAGGCTAAAGGCTGCGTATAAACACAGGATGGGATCCCAGGAGCCGGCCCATCCATGCCACTTGGCAGGCCTAACAAAGCAACAGTTTCCAGAAGACATTCAGAGGAAGGCCTGGATTTTGAAAGATTGGTTCATACAGTGGTCTCCCACCCTGTCAATCTGAGCTCAGTTTCATGGGTGAAGTCAGAGAATGGTGCCATTTCATCACAAGACCAGAGGGCTCAGCATCTGCTTTCATACCACACTGGGAATAAAGCAGAGTCTTTCAGGTGCTTCTTGTGAATGCAAACTGTATCAGGAGGGGTCTTTCATACTCAAATAATTCCTGACTTTCTGTCATCAGAGGTGACCCAAGACCTTTGGCAGTTAAATCTCTTTCCAGTGAAACTGGCAGATCCCTCCAAGCAGTTCTGGCTTTATCCCAATACCATTTTTAAACCCGTCAGGGATTATGTGAGTAATTGGATAAATAATAAAAAAGCCAGGTCCAGATGTGGGAGTGATGCTGTGAGCAAAGCCCTGCTTTTCCAGCACATTAGGCTTCACAGCAGTCGTTCACCCTCAGGGCTGCCAATAGAGGAATGCAAGGCACCTTATCTGCAAAAGTAAAGGAAAAGAAAATGCAAACAACTTCAGTTTTTCCTTGATAACAATAAAACTGACTGTTCTCAGCAATATAATCATCCTTCCAGACATGGCCTAGAAGGCTTCTCTCAATTTCACACATCTGCTCACTTCTGTTTTTAAATACCTTTGGTATGCAGTATTCAGAGCAGTGCCCATTGTACCAGAATTTACAGAATTTGTGCTGATAAAGAGCATCATTAGGACCAGGATAGATGTGCAGGGAATCTGCCTCAAAACAGATCCCTAGCAGTCTACTGCTAGATGTAAATCTGTGTGAGTCTCCTGAGGCTCGCTTTGTAGTCAAGGGAAACAAATAAACTTCTTCAGAGACTGACTCATTTCACACTAAAACAGATGTATATGTCAGATGACCTGTTCTCTGGAAGTACCAGTGTTTCTCCACAAATAGGGGAGACTAGCTGATTTGCACACCTATCTTTTTAATATCTAAATTTATGTAAGAAATGTTTTTTTCCTCACTGCTGTAGAATCTGCTAGTCCTCAGCTAATTGGGCTAAAGACAAAATCTACCATCCTTTAAATCGCATTTTGACAGCTCAGTAGAAAACAAAGTCCGGTGTTCACAGTATATCTGGCTATTTTTGTACACATGAAAGTGCAGATGTGAGCACTCAAAAACTGATTGAACCAATGTGGAGTCAAGTTCTAAGCCAATGACTTGGTGCAGGAAAGAAGATGCCTTTCACAGCTCATTATCTGAGAGAAAAAATAAGAGACTTCTTATGTTTATATAGGCTATATAAGAATATATTCATTTTAACACTTCCTAAGGGGTCAATATCATTCTGGCTGTATATCGCAAAAGATATAATGGGATAGGCTGAGTGTTGGCAGGTGGCAGAGCCTGTTTTGCTGTCTTGGAGGAACTGAAATGGTCCCTGATACGGTCATTTGAGTGGGATATGTCTCATCTGATATTAGTTATCTGAAAGTCTGAATGAGCGCCCTTTTTAGCGTGTGAGGAGAAATAGGTACTGCCAGAGGACGCTGACACCCATTTAATGCTCACCCACTGTCAATAGGTGCTGGACAGAAACCTGGGTGTCTGAGGCGAAGAGCAGGAGAGTGGTCAGAGTATGACCAGAGCTTGTGGGGTGATGGGGAAGGGCTATTCTGTAGGGCAAGACCTACCCAGGGAGCATAGAAATGGGGAATTCTCACCGCTGCTGGGGAGCTGGGCTATAAAACACAAAGCTTATCAACAACGGGGAGGGGAAGCAAAAAAATAAGCAAGCTGTTTCAGACAGACCTGTCCAGGGAGATTTTGCTACAGAGCAACTCTGACCCACTTCATTTTTGTTGCCAGCATTCTTCACTGCATTGTCACTGAGTACCAGTTTCATAGATAGGAAATATCTGACCTTTGTTAATCAGAGATAAACATGAAAATAATATCCTTTGGCACTGATTCTCATTCAGAGTTTAAGAGTAATTTCATGTCTCTTTCTTATAACACAGAGATTTCCTTCAGTGATGAAACTAATTGGGTTTTTATTCCAGTAATGTTCCCATTCCCTTCCTTAAGCTGCAGTTGTTATCAGCTATTCTCTACACCCCATGGCCTCTTCCCTTGTTTATTTGTCTCCCTACTGGGTCTTCACTGAGTCAGAATTAACATTGCTTTAGGACTATTACATGACTCAGAAAAGTCAGGTTTAGTAATATTCATTAAACTTAATAACCAAAGAGTAATTCATGCTCTTGATACTTAAGCAGTATCAGAAAATAAGTATAATTTTGCACCTACTAAATTCCTTTTTCTCACCTTGTACCTACTTCACCGGATTACTGCACTACAGGTTTCCTGAAACCTGAGATATGCTATTTAGTAATTATGTGTCTAGTTTAATAAAGGTGTACTTGTTATTCAGAGTCCTTCCCATACGTAGTTAGTTTTAAGAAGACATTATCCAAGGAGCTCTGGCCAGCAGCAAGCCTGAGTGCCTACTGAATGTGCAGCCCCTTTCACATCCCCTTGTGCAGTGATGTTTCCTGAAAGCTTCCTTGACTTGGTTTAGTCACCTCACTACAGCTACCATGTTCAAATGGGCTCCAAGAGAGGATCAGTATCTCCTCACATAAAGTCACATTAAAAGGAAACATATAGCCTAATGCCATGCCTTGTAGTTGGGGCTGAGTGGAAAGTGGGGGAATGGCGGGGGAGGCACATTAGACCCAAGGGGCTGTAGGAGTCTGAGTACAGTGTTTGCAGTAGATCACTGCTAGCACTTTACAGACACTACCTACGAAGTACAGACAAGACTTGGCAACAGAGTCTTGGGATCAGCTTTTCGGTCTCAAGTGACTGAATCACTGTTCTGTTTGTCTGACAGTATTAGAACATGATTTCTTTTGTCCTACATGAATGATTACCCAAAGGAACACAAGCTGGAGAGGGAAAAAAATCAGTATGCAAACAAGGAGTTCATCCCTAGTTTGTTCATTCTTATCTTGAGAAGATTAATAAGTAATCTCATATCTGAGCAGGAATAGGAAGGCACTATTGGCTAATTTCATCCATGTACTTTGGTATCACAGCATATAAATAAGCATGGATCTATAAGTCCAGCATCAGGCTCTTCTGACACTTGGCTTCTCTTCCTCAGCCCACCATGGAGCTCCTGGGAATGACCACTATTTTTTTGCTGGTCTGCATCTCGTGCCTTCTTCTCTTTGCCACATGGAGAAGCATATCTCAAAAACAGAAGCAGCCTCCTGGTCCTGTCACAGTCCCCATTGTTGGAAGCCTACTCCATCTGAACCCGTGGAACTTGCCTGAAAGCCTGAAGAAGGTAAGAGACTGTCTCCTTCTTTCCTATGTTGTCTCCATTGCATATAAATCAATGTCCAGTCCGGACTGTCTCAGCTTAATTCACAAGCTTAATTTGCAATGACCAAATGTCAGACTCAAACAGAAATGGAAGGCTTCCCAGCAATACATGCTTCTGAAGTCTATATATTGCTAGAATCTATATATCTAACTCTACATATCACCAGTCTAAGTCTATATATTTGCAATAATCATACTATTGATGAGTACTGTGCTGATCTCATGGCAGTACTGCAATTCGCAGTGACTTTGCAACCAAGGCACTGATGCTATTGTAATATTCTCTAATATACTATTGCTGTGCTCCTCCTGTGCTCAACTCCTCATTGCACTGGCAACATGGCCTGGCCCTTTTTTGGGGGAGGACCCTGCTCTATTTTGCTGCCACTGCTCTCTTGCAGATAGGTAGGATCTCCTGGAAGCAGAAGCAGTGAGTGAAGGGGCTGAAGCAAAAGAGTTTGGAGGTGAATTGTGCTGTCCATTCCCTCCCCTGGCTGACATCACATATCTGTCAAACAAAACCTGTGTGTTGCAAGGCCTGGGAGGCAATAGGTGGAGGGAGTTAAACTGGAGTGCCTGTTCCTTAGGGGACTGTGAGGGGATGGTGGCAGATGGATGGGAAGGGAGGGTGTTCCTGGGTTCCTCAGAGCAAAATTGCCGTGATGGTCACCACGTGTATCATCAGATGCACATATACACATATGAGCTCCTTTTTGCCTTGGTGCTTGTGAACATTGAGAATCATGAGCACCCTCAGGCATTCTGCTTTGTTTCAGAGCACTAGGTGATTCAATTTCCCACCATAAAAAAAATGGGACTATATCTAGTTTGGTCTTAAAAAGTGAGCATGAGAAGAACTGTTCCAGGTTGGACCAAGTAGCCCAAGAATCTTTTCTGCAATTGTAGCCAAAAGCAGATGCCTGGGAAAAGATACATGATTAGTGCAACGATACAGTGACTCTCTGCTGATAGACTTGCCCAGTTTCCAGAGATCTGTGGCCCAGGAGTTTTTTAGAGACAACTATGATATGTTTGCACTCAAAAACCCTTTAGGTACTTGCTTCCATAAGTGTATATAATTGCTTTTTGAGCCCGTGTAACCTGTTATCCTTTGTGCCCTGCAGAAAGGCATTCCAGACTGTTTTGCCAGCCCTATGAAGAACTATTTTCTTTTCAGGATTTGGAGTTGACATCTCACTGTTTCCATTCATATCTCCTATTTCTTGTAGAATTCCCTCTTGCCCTGGCTGTAATTCATAGCTGAAAAATCTCTGCACTGCTGCTAATCAATGCCACGTCTCAGTGATGCTGGGACAATGGCACATCACCCCTCAAAGCCCTTGGCTACAAACTTCTTTTCACAGGATTAACGTTCAGATATGTTGTTCTTTGTGTTCCTCTTTCCTACAGCTCAGCAAGAAGTATGGTCCTGTCTTCACAATACATTTAGGCCTACAAAAGATTGTGGTGCTGTATGGCTATGATGTTGTGAAAGAAGCTCTAATTGATCAGGCAGATGACTTCAGTGGAAGAGGCAATCTACCACTGATTAAAAAACTCTTCCAAGGCACAGGTATGTCCCTGGTAATGTTAGCATGCAAAGCTGATGCTTTCATTGCTTCAGGAACACAGCTGAGAGGGCAGTGGAGGAGGGGATGGTGGATTTCATTTATTACTTTCATGCATACAAATTAGCAATCAAAGACCAAAAGCCCAACTCATTATTTGGACCTTTGAGTAAATTGGACCCCTGTTTAAGGTCCTAGGTTGGCTTCACTGAGTGCCTTTCTGTTTTCAGCATACTTCAAATTCTAGCTAAAATTTTCTTCATTAAATGTGCCTCTAAGATCTTACGTTCACTCTCCCATTTCTGAAAATATTGACGATATATATACAGCTAAGGAACCAGCAAAAGGAAAGTCCACAGCACAACAAAGACAATATAGGCTGTCCCAGTAAGGGCCACATTCAAGATTAGGCCTTGAACTTATTCACCAGGGAAGTTCCCAGTATGGCATTTATCTGGGTAAATAGTACCTATTCCATGGTACTACAGGATAGTACCAATGGTACTGGCAATAATGACATGCTGTGTGAAGGTGCATAGCAGAACATTTGAGCAGTTACATCAGTGCAAAGGCCATGTGCTTGTGGCCAAGATGAATTCAGTACCAGTGTTATGTTCTCATTTACATCCTAACACAGTTTTTCTTATTCTGGGAATAAACTCAGATTTACTCAATGTGCTGTGGCAGCTTGATCAAATTTGTCACCTCCAGAATTGCAAAGAATTTAGGTTTTGGGACATATAGTAATTGCAGTATAACTCCGCAGAGAGGTCTCTTTGCATGTTGAATACTCACTGTGTAGCTCCCATTCAGGAAAAAAAAATAAATCTGTTTCCTCATGGAGGTCTATTTTTCCTTCCTGTGTCAGGCATTGTGACCAGCAATGGAGAGACCTGGAAGCAGCTCCGACGATTTGCACTCTCCACCCTGCGGGATTTTGGGATGGGGAAGAAGAGCATCGAGGAGCGAATCCAGGAGGAAGCTCATTTTCTGGTGGAGAGGATCAGGAACACACATGGTAGGACATGGACTTTGTGCCTGCTGGGACACCCTGCGTATCTACAATGAGACAATGAGGGGTGTAGTGCTCTTTCCCCCAAATCTGTGACCCAAGAAGTGGGCACGTGGCTGCTGTTTCTGCTCCCTGCTCCAATAGGCAAAGTTATCACTGCTGGGAGTGGGTCAGTCAAAGCACTGTGATAGTATGGATAGATGTAGGAGACTGGTCTTGGAAAGAAAGCATCCTTTAACCTGTTCTGCTTGAGGAACAAGACAGGAAGTAGCAAAGGGAATGGCTTGGCCCCAAAGCCAATAGTGGAATTCAGCCATGGAGACAGGGCTGGGCACTGCTGGGTAACCAAGCAACATGCACTTCCTTGCCTTGTCTCCTGCAGCCCTAAGTAAACAGATCTTGAAGAAGTGGGTGGCCATAGAACTCATTTACAGATATTTGGGGTTAGGTCCAGTCCATCTGAACACCAGACAATACCTCCCAGTATTAGTGGGGGCATGCAATGGGAACAGGGACTATAAGCTGCTTTTGAGGGCAGGGCATGAGGTAACCCCCTTGATTTCAACCTATAAATGCATCTTCTGGTAGGATATAAGACAATGTTACTTCTAAGTACTTCCCCTGAGAGTGGCACAGTATCAGCCTGGACCACAGGCTTCCTTTCCACAGTCAGCTTATTCTGCAAGGGGGAAAAGAAGATGGATCTAAAAGGATGCTGAAGCATCACTGTTACCCATGAGCCACTAGAAAATTATTCCTGCTACAAATCAGAGAAAACACTCTCACCTGCATTGCTCTCATCTTTTCATTAGCATGGTAATACTGTATTTCCTCTGCCCTACTCCAAGCCTCCATCTCTGGCTCACCTTGTTACAGCATCTTTTACTATGTACTAAAAGGCTTAGCAAACAAGATATATACAACTGAAAAGTATAAAGCCATTATTTACTCTTAATGCAAATAAAAAATTGCTAGGACTAGTTATCTACTAGGTTTAGCATTAATACACTCCTCACCTCTCATGAGACATCTGCTGAGCCTTCAATGGCATCAGTCAGGCAGAGAAAGGTTGGTGCCATTGCTCCTCAGAATAGGCTGATCCTCAATGCTGCCAAGTTGCCATTTTCTGACTCGCTTTTCTTTTTTAGGATTTTATACCTTTACATGTTGTTTCTCCTCTTGAAACTTTGAGATGGACCCTAACACTCTCTGCAATTATACCTTTCGTTTCTTTCCTGAGTCTAATCTTGCTTTTTTTCTCACACCACGGTTCTCTTATTAAAAGCTTATGCAGCTGAGCTATCAAAACTAGACTTTGATCACAGCATTTTAACCCCTAGGAGAGCGTCATACAAGTGAGGTTATGCTAATAGACTTCATAACCAGGGCAAAATAACCTAAAGACATGCCTCAGGCAAAGTCCTTATGGTTTCATCAGGTTTTGGTGGGGATCTTTAGGCTATTTCTAATAAACAGTCTGTAAGGCAGACAGGCATGTGTCAGCAGAAGAGGAACCAAGCCACTCAGACCAGTGTTCTGCTGAGAACAGGACAAAAGAGATACTTTTAAACCATTCAAACAGGGAAATTAGTTTGCTTCAAGTAGAAAATAATAAATTGGATAAGCCCTTCACCATCCTTTCAAACAACTGCAAAATGCTGGGTGTCAAGAGGATGCAAAACTTCCCTGTAGTGTCAGAGGAGGGGATGAAATACTGAAAGTAAGATACCAGGGGTTTTTTTGTTGTTGCAGAGCAACCCTTCAATCCTGGCAACTTCCTAGTCCACGCTGTTTCCAACATCATCTGCTCCATCGTCTTTGGGGATCGGTTTGACTATGAGGACAAGAAATTTCTGACTTTAATTGAGTTGCTAGATGAAAACAACAAGCTCCAGAACTCTATACAAACACAAGTGTGTACAGGTTTATTTAATTAATAGATTTGTTAATGATTATAATATTTTATTAACGAATATTTATTCATTTTTAATTGGAGTGAATTATCCTAAATTTGGGGAAATTTTTTGAAAGCCAAAAAGGCAGTTAAATAACCAATTCCTATTGTTTTTTTCTTACCTTATGGAATTGCCATTGTATGGCTAAAGGATATCTTTGCACAAATTGCTCAAGTGAAGTCTATCCTCGAATATAGTGAAACCATAAAGTAAAAGGCATTAAAATCCAGTTGAATAATAAAGACCTACTGTTCCAAAACAGTTTAATTGCCCCATTTTCACAGTTACAGCTAGGGGAACATTTTATCATATCCACATTAATCAGAATGTGCTTTTCCATCATTTTTACAGCTCTACAATTTCTTCCCAACTCTCATGGACTACTTACCTGGGCCTCACCAAAAAATGATCAAAAATGTTGAAAAAGTTGATCAATTTACTTTAGAAATCATAGCAGAACACCAGAAAACCCGGGATCCCTCTTGTCCTCGTGATTTTATTGATGCTTTCCTTAACAAAATGGAACAGGTAATGTAAGAGTGAGAGATTTACTGGATTATAAGAAAACCACTGCTTGAATCCCAGCTTCTTTTCAGTTGTGGCAGGAACTGGGCTTTTGCAAATACAGAGGGGAACTTGCTTTTCTTGGCACATCAAGGATTTTTAAACCCAGAATTAGCAGTACTAGCCAAAGTTAGGAAAGCTGAAGACCAATCTGATTGATGTAATTCAATGCTCTTCTCATGTTAACAAAGTTTCATAATATCATTTAGTAAAAGTACCATAAATACTGGTGTTCTGGAGAGTGAGTGTCATATTTTTGAAAGGACATTAGAAATGTTTAAAAACATACATTATAGGTACAGAAATTTCCTTTTTAAACAAGCTGCTTAGCTTTGTCGTTCTAAACATTCTGTCAAATCTTCCTCCAGGAAAAAGGGGATGGTCACTCAAAATTCACCATTGAGACCTTGAGCAGAACCACGCTCGACTTGTTCCTTGCAGGAACAGGGACCACCAGCATCACACTGAGACATGGATTTCTGATTCTCCAGAAATACCCAGAGACAGTAGGTAATAGAAAATTAAATAAATAATTGAAAACTTTTTAACAGGTTATGGTATCAGTTTGGACAATTCCTATCACTACCACATGTGGCAATGGTCCATCGGCTAAGGAAACATGTATTTGCAGTGTATTAGTCTTAGTTCTATTCATAGGAATGAGATATTAGTACTAAGTACATTTATATCTTCCTGGTGCACTGAAAGAAAGTTTTGCTGTAAATATGGGGAGAGGTTTAGGCAAACAGATGGGGAACTTGTCCATTCAACACTTACTTATTTCCTAACAGAAAAAATTCAAATGGAGATTGACTGTGTGATTGGCCGAGACCGAAGCCCCTGCATGGCAGATCGGAGCCAGATGCCCTACACAGATGCTGTGGTCCATGAAATCCAGAGATTCATTGATTTCCTTCCATTTAATGTCCCACATACTGTGATGAAAGACACCAAGTTCAGAGACTATTTTATCCCCAAGGTCTGTTCCACTGTGTCTGAGAAAGGTCATCATCTCTTGAAAACAATGACATGTTCTATTTATTTTATTTTATTTTATTTTATTTT